TGCCGCACCTGGGCCGAAGGTGGAACGTCGCACCTGGGCCGGAGGTGGAACGCTGCACCTGGGCCAATGGTGGAACGCCGCACCAGGGCCACAGGTGGAACGCCACAGCTGGGCCGTAGGTGGAACGCCGCACCTGGGCCGCTGGTGGAACGCCACAGCTGGGCCGTAGGTGGAACGCCGCACCTGGGTCGAAGGTGGACGCCGCACCTGGGCCGGAGGTGGAACGCCACAGCTGGGCCGTAGGTGGAACGCCGCACCTGGGCCGCTGGTGGAACGCCACAGCTGGGCCGTAGGTGGAACGCCGCACCTGGGTCGAAGGTGGAACGCCGCACCTGGGCCGGAGGTGGAACGCTGCACCTGGGCCGCTGGTGGAACGCCACAACTGGGCCGAAGGTGGAACGCTGCACCTGGGCCAAAGGTGGAACGCCGCACCAGGGCCACAGGTGGAACGCCACAGCTGGGCCGTAGGTGGAACGCCGCACCTGGGCCGAAGGTGGAACGCCGCACCTGTGGCCAAAGGTGGAACGCCACAGCTGGGCCGGAGGTGGAATGCCGCACCTGGGCCGAAGGTGGAACGTCGCACCTGGGCCGGAGGTGGAACGCTGCACCTGGGCCAATGGTGGAACGCCGCACCAGGGCCACAGGTGGAACGCCACAGCTGGGCCGTAGGTGGAACGCCGCACCTGGGCCGCTGGTGGAATGCCACAGCTGGGCCGTAGGTGGAACGCCGCACCTGGGTCGAAGGTGGACGCCGCACCTGGGCCGGAGGTGGAACGCCACAGCTGGGCCGTAGGTGGAACGCCGCACCTGGGCCGCTGGTGGAACGCCACAGCTGGGCCGTAGGTGGAACGCCGCACCTGGGTCGAAGGTGGAACGCCGCACCTGGGCCGGAGGTGGAACGCTGCACCTGGGCCGCTGGTGGAACGCCACAACTGGGCCGAAGGTGGAACGCTGCACCTGGGCCAAAGGTGGAACGCCGCACCAGGGCCACAGGTGGAACGCCACAGCTGGGCCGTAGGTGGAACGCCGCACCTGGGCCGAAGGTGGAACGCCGCACCTGTGGCCAAAGGTGGAACGCCACAGCTGGGCCGGAGGTGGAATGCCGCACCTGGGCCGAAGGTGGAACGTCGCACCAGGGCCACAGGTGGAACGCCGCACCTGGGCCGTGTGGAACGCCACAGCTGGGCCGCAGGTGGAACGCCGCACCTGGGCCGAAGGTGGAACGCCGCACCTGGGCCGAAGGTGGAACGCCGCACCTGGGCAAGAGGTGGAACGCCGCACCTGGGCCGTAGGTGGAACGCCGCATCTGGGCCGCAGGTGGAACGCCACAGCTGGGCCGGTGTTGGAACGCCGCACCTGGGCCGAAGGTGGAACGCCGCACCTGGGCCGAAGGTGGAACGCCGCACCTGGGCCGCAGGTGGAACGCCGCAGCTGGGCCGGAGGTGGAACGCCGCACCTGGGCCGAAGGTGGAACGCCGCACCTGGGCCGCAGGTGGAACGCTGCACCTGGGCCGAAGGTGGAACGCCGCACCTGGGCCGGAGGTGGAACGCCGCACCTGGGCCGAAGGTGGAACGCCGCACCTGGGCCGAAGGTGGAACGCCGCACCTGAGCCGGAGGTGGAACGCCGCACCTGGGCCGAAGGTGGAACGCCGCAGCTGGGTCAGTGTTGGAACGCCGCACCTGGACCGCAGGTGCACCTCGACTCATAGCTGTTAGCTTCTGGTTGAAGGTCGAAATGAACTCAATCTGAATGTTTTCATATTTATCTTCTTTGGTTTGTTTTTTAGCCTAAATTAATTATTCAGTTTATTGAACTGGTTGAAATTTTAGCTAAACTGATTATATGAATTTGTACTTTAGTTCATTATTAATATTTTTTCTACCATTAAATGTTTTAACTGACATCGTTTGGCTGCTGCTGTATTTTTACAGCTTATTAAATATAATGTTTAACTGTTAGTATGAATATTAGTTAGCATTAAAGGTAACCTAGCTGTTAGCATTGAGCCGTTAGCATTGCAGTGGGTGAACAGGTGACTCTGTGGGTGGTCAATGCCCCTAATACCCCTCAACCCCCCATGCATCGGGATGAAACAGATTCTTCTATATATTGTTGTGCTTGATGTTAGAATGTAATAAAGTATCGTATTGATATTTATAGAAAATGAATCTCCATCAGGTCCAGACAAGCTGAACCCTTCACTGAGCAGAACTCAGTCACAGTTACTGACTGGTTCTGTCAGACTCGGCCCGGTCCAGTTAGGTGTGTGTGTGTGTGTGTGTGTGTGTGTGTGTGTGTGTGTGTGTCGGACCTGCAGCAGGGATTCTGCTCAGCGCCATGTTTCCGCTCCGTGCCCCGGAAGCCCCGCCCATCCAGCCAAGCAGCCAATCAGAGCCCGGCTGACATTTGGACAGAACCAAAGAGAGGGAGGAACCATGGAGGGGTGTGTGTGTGTGTGTGTGTGTGTGTGTGTGTGTGTGTGTGTGTGTGTGTGTGTGTGTGTGTGTGTGTGTGTGTGTGTGTTTATGGGACAAGCGGGAGTGTTTAGATATTTTTAATCTGCAGCAGGAGGAGCTGCTGACCTTTAACTAGACCATTCTAAGGAGGTCGAGGTGAGAAACCCAACAGAACCAGAACCAGACTGTAACTGCTGACATTTGAACACACACACACTGACTCACACACACACACACACACACACACACAACTCACTGAATGAACGTGTGTGTGTGGATTTTGTAAAGGCCATCAGTGGTTTCAAATGCTCTTCAGGAGCTCAGCTGTTGTTCAGCAGTGAGACAGAAACACACACACACACAGACACACACACACACACACACAGAGACACACACACACACACAGAGAGACACACACACACACACACAGACAGACACACACACACACACACACACAGAGACACACACACACACAGACACACACACACACTCACACACACACTGATACACACACAGAGACACACACACACAGACACACACACACACACACACACACACTGATACACACACAGAGACACACACACACACACACACACACTGATCCACACACAGAGACACACACACACACACACACACACAGATACACACACAGAGACACACACACACACACACACACACTCTCTCTCTCTCTCAGATCTTTCTCCATGTTAATAAGCTGCAGTTTTTCCTACTAACTAACTTTCTGATCATGCAGCTGCTGACCTGTGAACTTTAACCTCTGATCTCTTTTATCCAATCAGAGACCTGAGCATCACTGCTGTCTGATCGGGCTGAGCGGACCGGAACCGGAACCATCTTTCTGACCCGTTCTGGTTCTGTTCCGGTTCTGTTTGCTCCAGGCCCGTCCTGAGCGGTTCGGATCGGTTGGGTTTGCATTGATCGGGTCGCTGTGTGTTCAGTGAGTTCGGATCGGTTCGGAGTGGCTCGGTAAGCGGGTCCGGACTTTGCGCCCCCTGCTGTTTGTGCAGCTCTGTGACCTTCAGTCACAACGCGCTGGTACCGGGTCCAAATGAACCAGAACCAGAACCCACCGACACCACACGTCTCCGAACTGCAGGTTCGCTTAAACACACGGCGGCCTTTCAAAATAAAAGCCTGCAGGAGCTGGGAAGAGCTGCAACGGACCGGAACCGGGTTCTGGCCGGACTCACCTGACGGCTGAAGAAGAGAGGAGTTCGGTTCCGGTCCGGTTCCGTCTGGCTGAAGATCTCCCGCCGTCAGAGGTTTTATAGGCGGAGGGAGGAAGAGGAGGAGGAGGAAGAGCAGTAGGGACCGTCTGGATGTGACCGGCACCAGAACCTGAACAGAACCTGAACAGAACCGGTCCAATTCCTCAGTTTCCTGGAAACTCAGGTTTAAAATAAATTTTATTTAAATGCTGAACTGAATCTGAACTTTGGAATAAAAACTGAAACCAGAACCAGAACCAGTCCTGGTTCTGGTTCTGGTTCTGGGCTGCAGCCTTTTGCTCAAGGACACAACGGCAGAAGACGGAACCGGCAACCAGGATGATGAAGAAAGGTCAGCCAGCAGGCTGCGGTTCTGTTCTGGAAGGTTCTGCAGTGACCCGGTTCCTGCTGAAGCTGAACTTTGAGGACGGTCCCTAATGAGAGAGAAGGTCAAAGTTCACCTGCAGCAGAAACCTGAACCTGGCTGAGGAGTCACTGCAAATGGCAGAAACCCGGAGACCTTTGAGCCTTTAGCTTCACCTGCAGCAGAACCAACAGAACCAGCAGAACCAGCAGAACCCGTCCTGTCATGACTTTCTGATCATGCAGCAGCTGACCTGTGAAAAACCCGCTCAGGACCCTGCAGGTCAAAGTTCACCTGCACTGAGTTAGCAGCAGGAAATATTCTGTCGTTGTTCCTCCAGCTGCATCCAGAGATTCCTGGTGGTTTTTATAAACGTGATGCAGATATTTTTGCTTTACATTCAGTTTAAAATGCGTAGTTAAATATTTCTCCCTGACCGTTCTGGGCCCATCAGAACCCGGCCGGTCCATAAACACTCCGGACCCGTCTGGAGACCCAGGAGAACCAGGTTCCCACAGAACCATGTTGCTGCGCGTGTGTGTGTGTCTCTGTGTGTGTGTGTGTCTCAGTGTGTGTGTGTGTGTCTCAGTGTGTGTGTGTGTCTCAGTGTGTGTGTGTTTGTCTCAGTGTGTGTGTGTTTCTGTGTGTGTGTGTTTCTGTGTGTGTGTGTGTGTCTCAGTGTGTGTGTGTGTGTCTCAGTGTGTGTGTGTGTCTCAGTGTGTGTGTTTCTGTGTGTGTGTGTTTCTGTGTGTGTGTGTGTGTCTCAGTGTGTGTGTGTGTGTGTGTGTCTCTGTGTGTGTGTGCGTGTGTCTCAGTGTGTGTGTTTCTGTGTGTGTGTGTTTCTGTGTGTGTGTGTGTCTCTGTGTGTGTGTGTGTGTGTGTGTGTGTGTGTGTGTGTGTGTGTGTGTGTGTGTGTGTGTGTGTGTGTGTGTGAAAGAAGCAGACCAGGTAAAATAAACAGGACTCTTTATTGGGTTCAGGTGAAACATGTAACACTGGCTCCCTGCTGAAGAACCAGCCTGACCCGCCGGGTCAGCGCCGGGTCAGGTGACCCTCACACACACAGTCACTGATTGGTCGTTGCATGGAGGAGACGCTTCGATGACTGAAGGTCAAGGACAAGGAGCTGGGAGGGGTCGAAGGGTCAGGGAGGCAGGAGGGAATGTGGCGGCCATGTTGGATTTACATCTTGACTTTCCTGAGATGTTCGACGACACTGAACACCTTGTTGGATATCTGGCCGCCAGTGGCGTCTTTAGTGCCCTTTGCTATGACGATAGCTGGAGACAGAGGACAGGTGGAGACAGAGGACAGGTGAGACAGAGGACAGGTGGAGACAGAGGACAGGTGAGACATTGTGACTCAGGAACCTGAAGGTGACGTCTGAAGGTGGAAGCTCACCTGTGTTGGTCTTGCCCACGCAGACTCCAAACGTGTTGCCGTCGGCGTCGGCCGCGGTCTTCAGGTCCATGGCGAAGGTCGGCTCGTTGTCCATCTGGTCCCGGATCAGGCGGCACCGCGTCCCGGCGATGTAGACGCCGTTCTGAGCGAAGCTGGACCGATCCTTGCCGGCCAGCTTCTTGATCTCGTCGGCCTGAAAGGAGACAAACAGTCAGAGCTACGGATTCCCAGCTTCCTCGAACTGCACGGCACCACCCAGGACCGGGCCGAGGACGGGCAGCAGGTGAGGAAACAGGACAGGTGAGCAGGACCGAGTTCATCAGAGACTAAGCTTCACAGCACAACTGGAGAAAAATCAGCTGCAAGACGAAAGAATGTGAAGACGAGTAGCGGCAGCCAATCAGAGAACAGGCCTGCAGGGAGCTGATACCGCTCACTGACACACACACACACACACACACACACACACACACACACACACACACACACACACACAGACACACACTGAGACACTCACACACACACACACACACACTGAGACACATGGAGCTCTAATGTGAGTCATGTTGTCAGTGAATCTGTTTAGAATGAAGAGAAAACATGTTGAAGCAGCTCAGAGAGAATCAGAGCCTGCAGGCCTGTTTTCTGGGTGTGTGTGTGTGTGTGTGTGTGTGTGTGTCTCAGTGTGTGTGTGTGTGTGTGTGTGAAGAAAGAAGAAGTGATCGTCTCAGCTTCCTGTATTCGCTGCTTTTCGGCGCTATGCCCTTATAAGGCAGCTGAACCCGCTCTGAGCAGCAGAACCCGGAACCTGGCGGAACCGGGCCTGACGCTGACTGACCTGCTCTGCAAGCAGAACCCAGAATCTGTTTGGACCCGGGAGGTTCTGCAGGCTCAGAACCAGCAGTCAGACCCGCCCGGTTGTGGCTGCGACCCGGTTGCTGCAGCAGGAAGTGCATGAAGCAACCGAACAGGAAGTGAGCGGCAGATGCCTCCAAACCATCGCAGCAGCCAATCAGGCGGCGGGCTCAGAGCGGGAAGCGGCGACGCCCGCGGCTCAAGACGATGCAGAGACGCAAACTTCCTTCCTCCCTGAGCCAGAAGACGGCGGACGGGAGCCAGTGAGGTCACAGCGGGACAGGTGAGGTCACCTGTCCCCAGCAGCGGCGTCTGAAGCAGGAAAGAGTCCCGGAGATTTGGAGCCGACAGAGGAGGAAGTTCTGGCAGGAGCCGAGTGGAAACAGGAACTGCAGCATGTCTCTGTGTCTCACTGCGTCTCTGCATGTTTCCCTGCGTGTCTCAGTGTGTCTCTCTGTCTCTGCATGTTTCCCTGCATGTCTCTCTGTCTGTCTCTGCATGTCTCAGTGTCTCTGTGTCTCTGCTCACCGTGATGCCCTGCAGACCCGGGGAACTGGCCCAGATGCTCTCCTGTCCAGCTCCGGTGCCGCAGATCGCCGCCTCTGCCACCGGCGTCGTCCCGCTGTGGTCAGGCGTCCTCATGTTGTCGATGTACGATTGCCACGACATCCTGATGGAGACAGTCGCCAGGGTTACGGTCCAGGTCTGGCCTCCCTCTGGGCCTGTGTGTGTGTGTGTGTGTGTGTGTGTGTGTGTGTGGTCTTACCTGTGCAGGTAGAGTCTGAGTCTGAGGCAAACGGAGGACAGCAGAGAAATGCCAGAAGCAGGAAGACGATGCGTCTCTTATAGGACCGGCCCCGCCCGCTTCCTGCCTCCCTCTCTCTGCCGCTCGCCCACTCTCCCCCCTCTCTCTCTCTCTCGCTCGCCCTACCTGGAAGTGAGAACCAGGAAGTAGAACGGTTCAGTGAGACAGCCTCCATGTTGTCCCTCAGCTGGACAGAGGAAGGACGGTGATGAGGTCAGAGGTCAGGTGGAGAACACCTGAACAGCAGAGTCCAAACCAAATCGGTTCTGGAGTCTGATCCGTTCAGAACCAGGAGCAGGTATCCACCAGAACCGACCGGCACCAGGAGGTCCAGATCGTTGGCACAATCAGAACCGGTCCGGTTTAAGATCCGGTCCGGTTTAAGATCCGGTCCGGTTTGGAGGTCCAAGGTTTGCTTTAAACCAGCAGGAGTCTGAAGTTCTGCTGAAACCTTCTGGTTCTACTGGTTCCCACAGCTTGGAAACCAGTTTGGGTTTGTTGCTGTTCATCATGATCCAGATTATTGATCTGGATTCATGTTTTATCACTGCAGGAGTTCTGACTGACTCCAGTAAACCCAGTAGGAACCCACCAGTGATCCCAGTCTGCAGTAACTGGTTCTGATGGACCTTTGCTCTCCATCAGGGTTTAAAACTGATTTAGGATCCATGACCCGGGGTCACGACCCGCTCCACTGGGCCGGGCGGTTCTGTTCTGGTTCTGACTCAGGAGGATTTGAACAGCCTCAGCGGTTCTGGTCCAATTTGTTCTGAGATCCAGTTTCTGGATGGAACCAGTTAGAGCTCGACTGACTGCAGCAGTTTCCATTTATGGAGGTTAAAGCAGAACCTGCAGAGATGAAAGTGTCTCTCTCTCACACACACACACACACACACACACACACACACACACACACACTTCCTCAGTAACGGTGAACCCGTCTTCTGAGTTAAACTGAAAGAGTTGAAGCGACAGAGTGAAGAGGAAGTGGTTCATCGTTTTGCTGTGTGAACTGTGTGTGTTACAGAGTGTGTGTGTCCTTATATGGCAGTGAGAGAGCAGTGTGTGTGTGTGTGTGTGTGTGTGTGTGTGTGTGTGTGTGTGTGTGTGTGTGTGTTAGTTTTAACATGTCAACACTTCAGAGATCCTCTGTTCACACGTGACACTTTTTAAGGGAAACTGGTTCAGGATTCTCTACAGGCTCCGCCCACTTCCTGTCACCAGCCCTACTTCCTGTTGGGAGAATAAAATGGCTCTGATTGGCTGGAGGAAGATGAGAAGAAGCCTGATGAAGACTCTGATGAAGGTCATCCAGCTGAAACCAGATGTTTACCCAGAACACCCAGTGACTGGAGTTTGGGTCCCGTCCTCCGGTCCGGTCCGGTCCTCGGGTCCCCGTCTGTTGGACTGAGGCTGCAGGACAGTACCTCTGGAAGACTTGAGCTCTGGACAGAACCGATGGAACCGGGTCGGGTCTGTTGGTCGCCTCACTCTGACGTGTCCACAGGCCAGAGGTCAAAGGTCAGCACTTGGTGTCTCTGTTGTCCTTCAGCCGTTTTGTCTCCAGCTCTTCTGGAAGCTGCGGATCCATCTGGGCCAATCCGGGTCAGAACTTTAGCTTCCTACTCAAGTCTTTGCTGCCATATTTCCTCATTATCCTGTCAGAACAGCCCCACAGCATGATGCTGCCACCACCATGCTGCAGTGTTTCCTCCAGATGAAGCGACGGTTCCTCTGTAGATCAGAGCTCAGAAGCTGCTAGTGTCTGTCAGACTGCAGTCTGGGTTCTGGTTCTGGTCGTGTTACATGGATTCTTCCTGGCTGAGCGTCTATTGGTTCAGTGATGATCAATCAGTCTGATCGGCTTCAGCTGACAGACAGACAGGGACAATAAAACCCTCTGATCTAATGCTTTCTGAAGCTAATCTTTGCTAGCCTGTGCTAATCCATGCTAGCTTATGCTAGCTGGCTGAACACGGCTGATCTCCAGCTCTCAGGCCTCACTGATATTTTTTCTTTGTGTTTCGGAAACAAGTTTGTTGGGATGTTTTGGTTTTGTTCCTTTTCTTCATCCTGATGCTCGACTTGGACAGCAGTTAGTTTTTACCTGCTGTTTCTATCCAGATCTGCGTCATGCAACAAACTGCCAGCAGTTTAATGTGTTTGTTTCCTTCACGGGTTCAGAATCTGATCATTTCTGCCTCCTTGTTTTCTACCTACAGCGGCTCTGATACTAAACGCAGAGATGTTCACTTTCTGTGTTCCTGCAGCTCAAAGTCTACTTCCTGTCCCGCTTTAGTGTGAGACCAGTGATTTCCTCCAGCCAATCACAGCTCAGCCCGCTACGTATCGCTTACGTCACAGACGGCTGAGTTGGTAAAAGTTTTAATTCGCTTTATTCACCCAAAACTCTGTAAAATATCTGAATTCACTGAAAATAAATATGTTGAAATAATAGATATCCAAAATGTACAAAATGCAATAAAATAAATATTAATAAATATTAGTGGTTTTGCGTCTGAAGTCACAGATTTAATCCAACATGAATTAAATGTTTTTAATGAAACTTCCTGTTTGGAAAAGATGCCTGGATTTTCCAGCTGGTTCTTTGCACAAAATGGAGCTTGATTTGAAAATAGCTTCCAACATTTTATTTTATATTATTTCTAGTTTCTCCCTGCAGATGAACGTGAGCCACTGATGGCTGAGGGTTAGCTTGAGGTTAGCTTAGCGCTGCGACGCCTTCAGACGGAAAACTACCGACAAATTATAACAATAAACCTTTAAACTGCCACAAAATACCAATAACATGCAGTAAAATGTGATTAAAGTGAAGGCAATGCAGCTCTAAGGCTGCCGGTGAGGCCTGTTAGCATTAGCATGGCTAATAATAATAGTTAATAAATAGTTGTTAGCATTAGCGGAGCTAGCTCTTTAGCTAGCGGCGCTCAACACTGACCAGGCTGCTGGTTCTGAACCTGGACGCTCAGTCGGGTCTTGAGGTGGAGGACCATCAGAACCTGAACCGTTTGAGTCCAGTTAGCGCCTCTGTTAGCATCACAGCTTCTCCAGGTAAGGCGCCCATGTTGGTTCTGATCAGAAACATGGTTCTGTATCCTTCTCCAGAACCTCTGACCCAGGAGCTGCGCGGCCTCAGACCCGGTCCGGTTCCGGTCCACATGCAGGATAAACATCCAGTACTTCCGGTCTGTCTCCTCAGGTTCTGACAGGAGTCTTTTGGACCCGGCAGCTGAACCCACCGACCCGGTTCTGATCCGGAGAATCAGGAATGAATCTTCATAGTAAATCAGACAAACAACCTGAGGATAAAAACGTTTTATTTCCCACTCGGTAATCAAGGTAACCAGGTGACACCATGATGCTAGGGGTCAGGGGTCACAGGTTTATAATCAAATGTCAGTGAGCGGAGCTTACATCACAGCCAGGAGAACTTTAACCTTCGTGTGTGTGTGTGTGTGTGTGTGTGTGTGTGTGTGGTGTGTGTGTGTGTGTGTGTGTGTGTGTGTGTTCAGCTTTAACTCTGACCTCACTGAGTTTCTCTCAGGTGAGATTTTATTGTAAAGCAGCAGAAAAACAACATGGATCAGCTGCTGTAACTCCTGCAGACGCCGAGGCTCGTCCTCCTCAGAGTGTGTGCGTGTGTGTGATGGTGTGTGTGTGATGGTGTGTGTGTTAGCGGTCCAGCACGTAGGTCTTGTACAGGCGGTTCATCTGCTCCAGGAAGATGAAGGTGAGGACGGTGTGAGGGCCGAGCCGGGCGTAGTACGGAGTGAAACCTTTCCACAGGGAGAAGAAGCCCTCCCTCCCCACGACGCGCATCAGAACGTCCTGAGACACACACACACACACACACACACACACACACACACACACACACACACACACACACACACACACACTTAGAAACAACCAGAGGAAGCAGTAGCACCAACTTCCTGCCCTCTGACTCAGAGACTCTGCTGCCACCTAGTGGTCAAATGGCCCAGCTGCAGCTGATGCCAGGAGCAGAACCAGGGGCCTCATGTGGAAACGCTGCGTACACGCAGAGACCCCGCGCCGCTATGTTTCCTGGAGCATCAAAGCTCATCCGGAGCTGAACCCTGAACCCTGAACCTGCACCATGAAGCCCGTAGGAGGGAAAACCTCAGCCAGCTGTGACCTCTGTGTTTGAGTCGGTCAGCAGATGACGTGGAAACAATCTGAGCGGCCATTTTGATTCTCTGTGACGCATCGAGATTCATACATGTGGCCATGAGGCCCCTGATGTTCTGGACCGGTTCTGACCCGGTCCTGGACCATGCTGCAGAAACTCACCAGGCCGTTCTTGTACTCTGGTTTGCCATCGATCATCCTCATGTTCTGGATCCTGGAACAAGAGAAGATCCAATCAGCTGCTTCTGGAACCATCCGGAGATCCCAGAACCGGACCGCTTCAGACCCAAACATGGTGCGGCATCAGAACCGATGGAGGTTCTAACCCGTTCTGGACCCGGCCGTCTCACCTGGTTTTGACGATGTCGACAGGCATCGATGCTGCTGTGGTAACCAGACCGCTGATCATACTGGCACAGAAATGGCACAAGATGTCGTCTCCAAAGTACCCTGGACACACACACACACACACACATCAAGAGAAACACACACACACACATCAAGAGAAACACACACACATCAAGAGAAACACACACACACATCAAGAGAAACACACACACACACAGACACATCAAGAGAAACACACACACACACATCAAGAGAAACACACACACACACACATCAACAGAAACACACACACACACAGACACATCAAGAGAAACACACACACACACATCAAGAGAAACACACACACACACACACATCAAGAGAAACACACACACACACACATCAAGAGAAACACACACACACACATCAACAGAAACACACACACAGACACATCAAGAGAAACACACACACACACACACATCAACAGAAACACACACACACACATCAACAGAAACACACACACACACATCAAGAGAAACACACACACACACACACATCAACAGAAACACACACACACACACACACCAGA